TGCCGCGCCTGGGCGGCCTCGGAGGAGGAGGCTCCTTGGGGCTGCTCAGGGACTTTAAGAGCAAAAAGCCTGAGAGTGTGAGCTGTCGCAGGAGGAGGGGAGGAGGGTCTCTCTTCCACTTTGGCTCTCTGGGGGGATGGATTCTTTTCTGTGGTTCCCGATCCCAGAAGAGCAGCCGTTGAATCAGCATCATCGTCAGCATTACTCAGAAACAAAGGGCAACAAAGAATAACGTTTTTTGAGAGATCCTAAGAAAAGAGAGAAACAAATGGCTCACTAGATTGTAAGCACTTGAGGTGTAGCCGGCACTAAGACTCCCCACAGGAATTAGCGGGCTGTTGGTGTATCAGCGATGCCTCTGCAGCCTCGAGTGAGAGCCGCAGAGCTGACAGAACACAGTGCTATGGGGGAAGAAAGGGACAGAAACGTGCGATAAAAGCACCAACAATCTCATCAAAATTGGCGAGGAAGGAGGATGTAGCAAAAGAGTTGAGAAGAAGATGGGAATTTAGTTTCTAATCCTGGTTCTAGCAGTTACCTCGGTTTTTCCACTGTTCTCTCATTTTGCTGTTTTTGCAGTATTTAGGGATAAAGTGATTCACTTATATTTTTTCTGAATTGATGTGAAAATGGCTGTTACTTTTGGATTGTGGTTTTTCAAGATGAAGTTTTTCCTGTCTTTGAATACTGTAAATGTTTCGAAGGCAGAAATTCACCACCGTCTTATCGATGTTTCTGGAACGTTTTCCTCGGTGTAATACTGAGAATAAAGGAGCACACCAGTGTCCACTAGTTAACTGAAAGTTGAGATTAACTCTTTGCACCTATTAAAACCAAGCCATGCAGATTTTTGATCCAGTAGGGGAAGCTCTTTGTTTCAATGAATTTACCTGATTTACATCTTTTTAAGAAATAACATATTTGGTGTTACATTTTTCATTTTATTTGTTCTTTGTTTCGATAGTGTTTATCTTTTGCCATGTGGGTTCTTTGTTTTGTTTTACATATAGAAAGGGTATTATTTTTGTTATTTAATTTTTATATTAATTTTAAATTTAAAAACATAGTTTAAAAATAGCAAACATAGTTTAAAATTTAAAGAACTATACATTTTTGATAGATCAGAGGGGATTTAACACCTCCTTGCCCCCCCCCCCAGTAAAGACAAACAAATGAACTCGGATTCATTTCCATTCCTTCCTTACCCAATTTGATAGTTTCGTTGTTTTCATTTTGTCAGGGTTTATATATTTACATTCCATACATTTACATTGTGTTTTGTAGCCATAACACAGCCTTTCTCTTATAATAGGGTTATTTATTTAATAGGTTTTTTTTTTTTTGAATAGACAGGGTTATAGTGGATTAAAATCCCACCGTTGCCCTGGCTGGAGCACAATGGCACAATCATAGCTCACTGTAACCTTGAACTCCTGGGCTCAAACTGCCTTCCCCACTCAGCTTCCCAAGTAGCTTGGGACTACAGACACCAACACCTGGCTAATTTTAAAATTTTTTGTAGAGACAGAGTCTTGCTGATCTCAGACTCTTGGCCCCAAGCAATCCCCTGCTTTGGCCTCCTAAAGTGCTGAGATTACAGATGTGAGCTACAGCACCGGATCCTATCATGTTTATATGAATTTATTTCCCAACTCCACTAGTCTTTAATGTAAGAAAGCTTCTTAATAGTTTTTTCATTCCTGAGTTGTTTCACTAGTCATCATTAGTGCCCCTCTCCCCGACATCTCCAAGAAAATTTCAAGTTGATGTGCTTGAAAATATTTTCCTGTTTTTAATATGTGAATGCTAGCTTGGCTACAGGTATAATTCTTGGTCATGCTGTTTGCTTTTGACAGGTGCTAAGCAGCTGGTGCAAAAGCCTGGAGACTAGAATATGGTCAAAGAATAAAGATTTAGGGAGGAATTAAGGGGCCAGAAACTTCAGGGCTTTGTAGTCTGTTCTGAAGAATAGTAATCTCTTCTAGTGAGTAAACCGTGATGCTAGCTTAGGCAGGGCTGTAATATGACCCTGCTTTTTCTTTGGAGAAAGCGTTGAAGGAGGAATAAGTATAGAAGTGGGAAGGTCAGTGAAGAGCCAGGGCAGGAGTCCAGGCAAGAGGTGGTGCTGGTGGTTTGGGGGCTGGAGTGAGGTTTGGGAGGTAGAATTGATGGGATGATCAGTGGAGTAGACACGGGGAAGCAGGATGAGGAGATGAAGAATAAGGAAGACACCCTGGTTTCTGATTTCAGCAAGCAAGTAGATGGAGGTGGAGTTTACCAAGTTAAGGTAGACTGTAGGAGGAGGTGAAATTAAGTCAGTTCTGGCCATTTTAGGTCTGATGTCCCTTTTCATTTCTCTTTCATCCTCTACCCTGTCCTTTAGTGTGTCCTAGACCTGGACTCTTTGAGAATGTTTGCTGCTGCCTCGAGTCCAGCTGTGACCTCTGTCCAAGTCATTGTCCAAGTAAAAGATGTGTGGCTAGGATCCTGAGGACCCTCTCAGTTACTTTTAGAGAAACGGGTCCTGTGTTGGAAATCTGGAGATAGATGTGTTTGCTCTTTGCATCTTCCTAGGTTTGGAACCCGATTTCACTATCTGGCAGATAATTCTTTGCAGTCTGTGATTTGAGATTCTAATGGTTCCAAGTTTACTGTTGAATGAATTTTTCTCTCAGTTTTAGCCATTCTATAAATGTTAGTGGTTTTCAGGGAAAGGAAAGAAATAACCTTTTAACGTTTTTCTTTAATTTTTATTTAAAAATTTTTTTGTAGAGATGGAGTCCTGTTATGTTGTCCAGTCTGATCTCCAGCTCCTGGCCCCAAGTGATCCTCTCACCTTGGCCTCTCTAACTGTTGGGATGACAGGTGTGAGCCACTGCGCCTGGTTGGAAATAATTCTCATTCTGCCATCTTTTCCCAGAAGGCCCCTAGTACATTTAGTTTTGAACCACTCGTGTGTGTGTTTGACTTTGGACTTATTTTTTGTCCTCCAAGTTCTAAAAAGTTGGATTAGAAATTCTCTTAACTCTTTGCATGTATGTTATAACAAACCACATTAATAAATTATTACTTTCTCTGTAGGTGTTTCCTGTAATGTTTCTGTGGATAAGGAACAGAAGCTATCCAAACGTGAAAAGGAAAATGGTTGGTGAGTAAAGCTGTATTTATATGAATATGTTAGAGAATTTTTTTTTTAAATTAAAATCTTTAAAAGGTCATTTCTAGTAGTAAGATTACTTGGGATAAAAGTTTTCATGATAGTAAAAGTTAATCAATCACATATATCAGTTCTTTTTTTTTTCTTTTTCTATATCCCATTTCAAAAAGGAGTATATCAATTCTTGAGTGGTGGTCACCTTTAGATATTGAAAAATTAGAGTTTCTAGTTCTATAAAAGCGTATTCTGACATTCCCTTTTTGGATCTTTGGGCTTGGTGCTGAAGAAAATTGAAAATAAAAATAGAAGGCCGGGCGCAGTGGCTCACGCCTGTAATCCCAGCACTGTGGGAGGCCGAGGCGGGTGGATCACGAGGTCAAGAGATCGAGACCATCCTGGTCAACATGGTGAAACCCCGTCTCTACTAAAAATACAAAAAATTAGCTGAGCATGGTGGCGCGTGCTTGTAATCCCAGCTGCTCAGGAGGCTGAGGCAGGAGAATTGCCTGAACCCAGGAGGCGGAGGTTGTGGTGAGCTGAGATCGCGCCATTGCACTCCAGCCTGGGTAACAAGAGCGAAACTCTGTCTCAAAAAAAAAAGAAAAGAAAAATAGAAAAAGAAGGCTGGGCACGGTGGCTCATGCCTGTAACCCCAGCACTTTGGGAGGCTGAGGCGGGCAGATCACTGGAGGTCAGAAGTTCAAGACCAGCCTGGCCAACGTGGCAAAACCCTGTCTCTACTAAAAATTCAAAAATCAGCCTGGTGTGGTGGTGCGTGCCTGTAATCCCAACTACTCTGGAGGCTGAGACAGGAGAATTGCTTGAACCTGGGAGGCGGAGGTTACAGTGAGCCAAGATTGTGCCACTGCACTCCAGTCTGGACAACAGAGCAAGACTCCGTCGTCTCCAAAAAAAAAATAAATAAATAAATAAATAAAAAGGAAATTACCTGTATTGTAAAATCTCATTGTTAAAGAGTGCCTTAGGCGAATGCCGCCCACCTTTCTCATGTAGTAGCACACATAAAATGCTGCTGTCACACACACATAGCCTATTGGCGTAAACAGATAAGGCAAGACCAAACAACACAGGAGCTCCAGCAAGCTAAGGTCCTGTGTGGCCACTCTAAGGGTTGAGAGGACAAATGTCTTGCCATACCTGCCACCCATGTGCCATAGTGGTACCTGAGTATACTGAGTGGGACACGCTGCCCTATATACTTGTTGCTCCAAATGTAAACTGTATCTTATACTCGCATATGGAATAACTTCAGGTCATACACAGTTAAACAAAAATTAATTTTGTATATATTTTAATGTATATTAAAAATACTGGTATGCTGGAGTATCCTATCAAATAAAGTATATTATAATTTTAAAAAAGTTACTCTATGCCTTTATGACCAAATCACCTCCTTATGATCCCACCTTCTAATACCATCACATTAGGTACTATGATTTCAACTTATACATTTAGCAGGAGACAGAAAGTTAGTAGCTCCTAAAACTCTTTTAATTTCTTAAGTGATGGGGTGATAATAGTATTTTTTGTTATCATGTTTGGTCTTAGACCCCAGTTCTGATGCAAAAGCTTCTAAGATGCTTAGAATCTCTGGAGTGATGATAATGTCCTCTTGAATCCTAATGAGATGACTGTGGCTGGGGGCTCCTAGGTAGCTTCAGGATGGGGGCTACCCATTCCTTCAAGATCAAGGCATGATTAGAGGGTTGGAAGTTTCAGCTGTATCCCAACCTCTTCTCTCACCTCCATGGAGGGAGAGGGGCTAGAGATGATGAGCAATGATTTAATCAATCATGCCTATGTAATAAAACCCCAAAAGCCCATATGTTTTAGAGAACGTCCAGGTTGGTGAATATGAGATGCCAGGAGGGTGGTGTACCTAGAAAGGGCTTGGAAGCTCTGCGTCCCCACTTCTGCAATCTTTGTCCTGTGTATCTCTTCCATAAAAGTAAAAAGAAAAAACCAAAACCAGTACAGATAGTTCGTGGATGTGACACACTGTGGTGCTGGCATGTGGGCCATACAAATTAAGAATAGCCAGCCTTAGATCATTTCTCATTTTGTAGTTAAGGAAAGTAAGGCCCAGGGAGGTTAGAACTTTGCTAAGGTCACAGGACTAATTAGCAGGAAGAGCTAGGATGATGCTTGTTATCCCTTCTGACTTCCTTCAAAGTGCTCTTTCTTCTCCACTTCCCAGCTCTAGCCATTTTGATGTCACCTTCATCATTTTTGCCCTATTTGTGTACCAGCTACCAGCTATGCTATTATGTACTTAATTTTTTGAATTAAATCAACCTAAAATTTTTATTTAAATTTTAAAACGATTCTTTGTACTATCATAAACATATAACTTGCCATAACTAGAAAGTAACTGAAGATAATTACAGTGAAAACAAATGTGATTACTTCTAGCTGAGTTATTATTGCCTGGCTGGTTCTCTGCCTGAAGTCTGTTCTCCTACTATTAAAAGATTTGCAACTGTGAGACAAGTGTCAAAGACAGTCTAGCACCAAACCAAGACTTTCTTCTTCTTTATAATCAGGATTGATAGAGAATTCACTCTCTTTGACTCAGAGCTATTAATACTGTTTGTTTGTGTCACCTAAACCCATCGATTATGTTGCCATCAGTTGTCTTGGACTTCACTAGGGTTGTGTGCTCCACACTCCCATATTGCTTTGGGATGCTTGTGAATTTTTCCATAAGCTCATCCTGCGGAATACCTGCCTGAGCCATTCTGCTGATGGCCAGCAAGAGCACTGTGGGCTTTAGAAATATGTTGTGAAGGTAGCAGTGCTGTGTCCTCTGTTCAGCCTGACTCTGTCCTTTGTTGAGGATCTTACAATCAAATTATTCCTTGTCTAAAATTACCTTAAGATTGTTGCCACTGCTTTCTCAATGTTATTGTTCAAGGAAAAGGGTGAATTCTGGCCAAATTCTTGCCAACTGAAAGCAGAAAGATGCTGGCTTAATAGTAGTTATCATCTCTTCATTGCTCTAGAAGATGATTCTAGAAGTATGAATGGGTTTGTTCCTATTTTTGGTGGTGTTTAGGTTGATTTTGATAACTCAGGATAGAACAATCTTATCCATGGCTCAGTCTGTTTGGGGAGTTCAAGCCTCTGGTTTCTCTAAGTGTCCTTTCTTGGCTGATGACACTTACATTAGATATTAGTTTGTAATCTTGGTAATGGTGCGAGGCAGTCTCATAATGGTAATGAGGCTTGATATTTAGCATGGAGGTTTGCTGGTTAACTGTGAGTAATATAGGTGGGATTTACCAGCATGCTTTTATATTTCTTATGTAAAAGCTTATACAAGCTGTCTGGGTATGGTGGCTCATGTCTATAATCTCAGCACTTTGGGAGGCCAAGTTGAAGGATTGCTTGGGGCTAGGAATTCAAGACACTGGATTCTAAGCCAGATTTTAAGGAGACATGAATAGGCTTTAGGGGAGGGTATATTCAAGTATATGGAACCTGAGTTGAGAGATAATGAGAATGAAGGAACAATTACATGGGCTGTCATCTAACTTTAGAGAGTCTGTTTTTATTAAGCCAAACAGTATTACTTTCCACTAGAGCAGAGTTTGGTAAACTGTGACCCATGGACCAGGCACCCATTTGTGAATACGAGTTTATTGGAAAACAGATTATTCAGTTACGTATTGTCTATAGGTGCTTCTGTTTTACAGTGGCAGAAGTGAGTGGTGACAGATACTGTATGGCTGGCACACCTAAAATATTTATTCTCTGCTTTGTTACATTTAGTTACCAAAAAATTCCCTGTCCCTTGCCTAATGTGTTAATGCCCCTTGGTGGGCTTTTTGACAACATGACGTTAAAAGGACATGTAGAATCTTTTTGTGTATTTCCAAATTTTAGATTATTTTTCTTGTACCAGATAGAGGAATTTATATTCTAGAAAAACACCACCTCAGTATCCTCTCTTGTCACTTTTTTGTATGTCCCTTGTTTTTTGATACTTAAGACATGGTCTAGAGATGACTGTCTTTATATTTGTAAATATCTTACTATCATTTTTTCCTTCTTATATGTGTAACCTGGTATGGTCAAAATAGCATACTTTAGAGACTGAAATGTTTATGGATTTTAACAATAAGATTTTTATTATAACGAGTTGCTATTTTGTTTCCTAAAGCAAGACATTCCTTTATTGCAGCATCCTTGAGACTTTGTACTGCACGGGGTGCTCACTCAACCTCGGCTACGTGTACAGATGCACACCCAAGAATCTTGATTACAAGAGAGACTTGTTTTGCCTCAGTGTTGAAGCCATCGAAAGGTAAGTGTGATATATAAATGCTTACCTCACAACTGGTGTTTCAGAAAGTTAAGTTTGCAGAGAAATTGGTACGGAAGCTTCAGAACTAAATCAATACTGTTTAGTTAAATATGTTTTCAAGTAATGATTTCTAACAAGCCAGTATTTTTTTTTTTTTTTTTTTGCTTTGACCTTCTTCTTTATTTGGTATTGGAAAAGTCAGACACTCTAAATTGTAGGAGAAAACACTGTGAGAAATTTTTTTGGAGTAAAAGTATATTCAGTTTTTATAAAAAATTGAATTTTTTTTTTTTTTTTTTTTGAGTCGGAGTTTCGCTCTTGTTACCCAGGCTGGAGTGCAATGGCGCGATCTCGGCTCACCGCAACCTCCGCCTCCTGGGTTCAGGCAATTCTCCTGCCTCAGCCTCCTGAGTAGCTGGGATTACAGGCACACGCCACCATGCCCAGCTAATTTTTTTTTTTTGTAGTTTTAGTAGAGACGGGGTTTCACCGCGTTGACCAGGATGGTCTCGATCTCTTGACCTCGTGATACGCCCGCCTCGGCCTCCCAAAGTGCTGGGATTACAGGCTTGAGCCACTGCGCCCGGCAAAAAATTGAATTTTTTATAAAAAATTTAGTAGGATAAATTTAAAAAAGTTTAGTAGTATATTCCCCCCGGCCCCGGCTTTTTATTTTTATTTTTATTTATTTAAAAACATTTTTTTTTAAGATATGGGGTCTAGCTCTGTCACCCAGGCTGGAGTGCAGTGCTGTAATCATAGCTTTCTGCACCCTCGAACTCCTGGATTCCAGTGATCCTCCTGCCTCGGCCTCCTAAATAGCTAGGACTATAGGCATATTGCTTGGAGTCTGGCTGTGTTGCCCAGGCTGGTTTCAGATTCCTAGCCTCAGATGATCCTTCCGTCTCATCTCCTAAATAGCTGGGAATAAGTGCACGCCGCCACACCCAGCTTATATTTTAACCTTGAACTGTACTTCAGTTATGTTTTAGGGTCCTCTGAAAAGCAAATTGTGTCAGAAGATAAAGAGCTTTTTAATCTTGAAAGCAGAGTTGAAATAGAAAAGTCTCTAAAACAGGTAATTTTATTCTGTACATTTTACATCTTTGTATGAACAATTTATCAGTGAAGAAGTGCTCCCCCACAAATGATAATTCTCATAATGTCATCTGTTTTGCTCACTGTAAGCGTATGCTTATTTCATTTCAGTTCATAGTAAAGTTGATCTTTGGGGAACTCAAATGAAGCTAAAGCTTTATCAACAAAATAATAAGGAAGTCATTTCATGTCAAAATCAAAACTATGTATTCCAACACTGCTAAGCCAGAAATACATTTTTGATTCAAATCAATATTTTGTTTGATTCAATTCTTGTGGTATAAATAGCCTTATTGTTGGATGTTAACATTTTCTCTTCTCATTGCCAGATAGGTGAGATGGTGATTACTGTATGGAAGAGATACAGATTATAGATTGAGAACTGCTGTTGATAGAATTATGTTTTATTTTAAAAAATGTAGTTTATGCTTCTGAGTAGTTTTGTTAAACACTGAATATCTACCATGCAATGCATGACATATTCAAAATTGCATTAAGTGTATATTTTAATTATATTGAACCATGTGTAATTTTTAATGATATTGATATGTGTGTATATTTATTTTTCCAATTCAATAGATGGAAGATGTCTTGCAAGCATTACAAATGAAGCTGTGGGAGGTTGAATCAAAATTGTCCTTTGCCACTTGTAAAAGCTGAACTCTAGTCTGTGTCCTCCATTCTGTCCCCACCCTTCTTCCCTTTATTTGTTAAATGAAGCAACATAGTGAGATGTCGCTACCAAAAAAAAAAAAAGAAAAAAATAGCCAGGCATGTGAAAGGCTGAGGTGGGAGGATCACTTGAGCTTGGGAGGTCAAGGGTGCAGTGTGATCATGCCAGAGTGAGACCTTGTCTCAAAAAAAAGAGAAAGACGCCACAATTGTAGCATTACTTTTATAGCTATTGTTGAAAAACGTGCGCTTTGAATGAAGAGAACTTCCAAACAAGCTTCATGTGAGCAACATGGCTATTTATCCACCTGGGTGCAGGTGGGCTAAGGTTGAAAAGGGCATTAGCAAAGGGCAGTGAGCTAGTGGTTGGTTTTATAGGTTTCGGCAGTTTTTTTGGGGGTGAGGGTGTTGCAGAGTACAGTTACAGTGGTGGAGTTGGGTAAGAGGTATTTACATTATCATAAGAATAGTTAAGATGTCAGGGTTGGGTGAGAGGTATTTACATTAACATAAGAACAGTTAAGATGGCAGGGTTGGGTGAGGGGCTTGTCCGGGGGAACAGGGACAATGTCGAACAAGCAGGCATAGGGTGGGAGACTTCAGCCAGGCAAGCAGGAATTCAGACTTTCAGGCTCCAGGCTTGCATATGGAAACCTGACAGCTATATTTTGTGGAAAAGAAGTGACTGTTTCTCAAAATCCCATTTTAAAGCCGTTTTATGGTACTTGTTGGAATTGGGACTTAGGAGTTTTGATTTTGTTAAGAAACTGCGATGATTTTTCTGAACTTTTCTTCTCTGTATCACATTTATTCTTTATTTACTATTTTTAAAAACTTTTAACACTTGGGACAATATTTATTATAAATGATAAGAAAATCTTAGAGGTTTTTCTACCCACAGTGTCAGTGAATCTTCTCTGAAAATTAGTGCGTAAAGTTCCCTGAAGAAATTGATCGTAATTATCTTTCAGAACTGTTTGAAAACTTGCAGAAGAGTAGTTGTATCTATGTAGTAGGATTTTACCTTGTCCTGCTTCTGTGCTACTATATGCTTAGAAAACCTGGAGGAATGTTTATCAAAGAGGAGAAGTCAACTCTGATGGTGGGATTCTGGGGGAATTTTTGGCTTTTCTGTTTTCTATAATGTAACACTTTTATAGTGAGTATGTATTTTTATAATTGAAGAGAATAAAGATTAAAACAAAGTGCTTTAAGATTGATTTTTACAAATCGAATAGTGGTATTTAACTGACATCAGAAATTCTGGTGCTGTGAAATATTACTGAGCACGGCTGTGGAAGGTCTGCTCAGGAATATAAAGGTAACCCCAAATTTGCCCAGGCCCTTTGTTTCTGTGTGCGAGTGCGGTCACAGAACAGTACTCATTAAGTATGAGTAACTCATTCAGCTTATGCTCAGAAGTTCCCTGATTATTTGTGAGAATACTAAAGTTATCAGAGCAAAAGGTCCCAAGTCACCTGGACTGGATCATGCAAGATTCTTGTATTCTTTTTGAGAGATTGTCGACAACCTCAAAGCTGAGTGAGCCATCTAGGTGTCTTCTCTCACAGACTCCTCTCTCACCAACAGACTGGTGCTGTGGAAGCAAATGTCAACACCCACTGGCAACAAGGCAGCATCTGGCCACAGTAAGCTTGATGAAGTCCCAGGTGTCTGTTGTCTTAGGTGCTTTGGTGGCACCTTGTGTGAAAATTGACTCCAAACAGATGAGAGAATATTTTAGTCACAAGACTTGGCTAACTCTGGTTGTGCAGGTTACAGAATACTCCAGCAAGCATTTTCAGATTCCATTCCAAAGCCATAGACAATTTGGCTCCCTGATTACTTATACCCTGTTCATACTAGGGAAGGAGGAGCCTCTACAATATTTGTAGCCAATTCACGCATCTTGAAAACTCATTTCACCAATGAAAAGTAATTTCTAATATCCTGGTGCTAATTAAGATTCTGTTTCGGATCAGAAGATAAATGTAGCTCATGCCTTACTGGCTGCCTCTAGAGTGGGCCTTTGATTACCTTTCCTTCCCTGCCCGTGTATTCCTGTTAGGGTTCTTCGTGTGAAGTTAACAAACCACCGCTCGGGTGCAGATAGAAGCCAGCACACATTTGTATCACATGGTCTCCACTGAAGCATCTAAAAGCCAATACCAGGAAACACAGAGTTTCATAAGACAGTCTTCATCTTTGGCCTCAACCTGTGGCATCCCTGAAGGAGCGGTGTTGCTATCACAGTGAGAGAGGGACCTCTAAGTCTTCCAACGGGCTACCCTGAGGGGTCCGGGTGGGAGTGCTACATCCTGTCTGCACTGCACGGTGACACTTGCAGGAGAGGGGACCTCTGTTCTGGGCCACCCCCTCTTGGGCCACCTATTTCCCTGAAGCCTGGTGGCCTCACTTTTCTGGCTGTGTGTCTGTGTGTGTGTGTGTGTGTGTGTGTGTGTGTGTGTGTGTAACTTGTCTCGTATATTCACCTGCTAAAACTTACTAATTGAGGCAACAAGTTTTTGTCTCTTATAATTGGAAAACCCAACGTGTGGTCGCTTCTGGTAAATGAGCCCTGGGAAAGCATTGCCTGTGTGCAGTAGTGAGGATCCACAAGCAGGAGACGGATGGCCCAGCACACCACACGGGACCCAATGGAGGCTTCAGACAGATCTCCCCAGAAGTTACTCCTTCAACCATTCCCCTAAGGGGCATTCTCTAGTTCTTTAGAGAGAAGATATGGCAGAACCTGTTATGCGGCCTTTAAAGATTGTTGTAAATGGGTATGTGTAGCACATTGTCCATGGTTTTCATCCCAGAGTGTGGGTGCTGTCCTCAGCAAGTTCTCCAGTCATGCTCATACATTTCCAACCTAAAGAGTCCACTCTAGGCATTCTTCCGTGTAGCATCGCTGCCTGAATGGCATGTGTCCTACCTGGATGATTCTAGTCAAATGTGGGACATTTAAAATGGTCAAGACCGGGGTGTGACCCCTTGCAGAATCAGGTCTAGGTTTTCAATAGGAACTGATTGAACCAAGGAGCCAGGAGCAAAGCTTCACCCGGCTTGTTTTTGGGGGAGGGTCTTGGGGGTAACAACCAGAAGTCCAGGGTCAACGTCCCAGTTTAACTGCTTTATTTAACCGTGTGATCAGGGGCAAATCATGTAATCATTTTGAGTCTCTGTTTTTGCATCTGTAAAATGAAAGTATAATAACCTGCCTTCTGTGGGTCAAGGATGATCAAATTAGGTAATGCATAGGACAGTACTTTGAAAGCAGTAAAAGAAGTTGTAAACATAAAGGGTAAAGATTTAGCCTTAAATAGAATCAATCTGATTCAGCCTTCTAGCCAGTCTATTCATAAGATTCTATGGACATAAAAGAATCTGAAATGCTCTATATTTTTTTCTAAACTATATAACATCATTGGCTTTTTTCCCCCAGTTGTAAACATTGTACAAAATTTGAAAAACAGAAAAAAGCACAAGGAAGAAAATAAAGCACATAATCTTACAATTAATAATTACATTTTGGGGCCACCGTGCCCGGCCAAATTATGTTTTATTTAAGAAAATTTAGTTTATGCCTCTAAATAGTTTTCCTTACAGTCATTTTTACATGCAAATTTGGGGTCATACTGGTCACACTCTTTTGACTTAAAATATTTCCTAAAAAATATAATTGAATATTATTTTATAACCTGAGTTTTAATGATCAGTAGGATGAGAACCATATTTAAAAGCTTGTTTAAATGTGATTATATGGTATGAAATTCACACTATTTAGTGGTTTATTTAACAACTGAAGTTTACTAAGCAAATAAAAGGGCATGAGAGAAATCTTAGACAGTGACCTCTTTTGTCTAGCTCCAGTGGTGTGCAGGGGAGAGCCAATTGTTAAATTTTCAGGAATTTTGTCAGCTGGTCATTAAACTGTTGGTAGCTTGAAATTGGCCATGATGGGGATATTTACACCTGAGAAATCAGCAAGTGCTGAAAAAATGAGGGCTTCCCCCACCCCAGCTAGGTTTCCAGTAGATTGCTGTATTCCTTCTGTTTGACTTAAAGTTGAAAAGAGAAAGTGATTTGTCTTTTCAACACCCAAAGGAACAAGTTCTAACATCTTTTCATTTAGTACATCTAAAATGAAACTCATCTTTTTTTTTTTTTTTTTTTTTTTTTTTTTTATTTTTTTTTTAAATTTTTTTTTTTTTTTTATTTTAATTTAAAACTTTTTTTTTTTTTTTTTTTTTTTTTTTTTAAGTTAGCCATGTCTAGAAACATGATTTTACTTATTTTGAGACAGAATCTCACACCATCACTCAGGCTGGAGTGTAGTGGCGCGATCTGGGCTCATTGCAATCTCCTCCTCCTGGATTCAAGCGATTCTTGTGCCTCAGCCTCCCAAGTAGCTCAGACTACAGGCACTTGCCACCACTCCTGTCTAATCTTGTATTTTTGTAATAGTAGACACAGGGTTTCACCATGTTGGCCAGGCTGGTCTTAAGCTCCTGGCCTCAAGGGATTCCCCGGCCTTGGCCTCCCGAAATGCTGGGATTATAGGCATGAGCCACCACTCCCAGCCTGAAACTCAATCTAAGACTTTAGGGATTACAGTCACATTCTTCACCTCTCCTGGAGAAAACCCAAAATACCTGAAACAAATGACTTAAAATTTTATATAAGTAGTTGATGTTATGTACATCTATTTTGTTCTCCCCAAATAGGATAAATGGGCAGTTGCTTGCTAGTGAACAGCCAGAGGCAGTTTGTTGGCAATCACTTTTGAACTGAGGGAGAATAACTTATTTTTTAATCGAATCTGACATATTTTGGGTATTGATCATTATTTTACTTTTTATTTTTCGAGACAGTCTCTCTGTCGCCTAGGCTGTAGTGCAGTGGCACTCACTGCAACCTCTGCCTCCAGGGTTTAAGCAATTCTGTGCCTCAGACTCCAGAGTAGCTGGGATTACAGGTGCCCGCCACCATGTCCGGCTAATTTTGGTATTTTTAGTAGAGACCGAGTTTCACCATCCACCCGCCTCAGCCTCCCAAGGTGCTGGGATTACAGGCATGAGCCACCGCGCCCGGCCGATCATTAATTTTTTTAGTGAGAGCTGAGTTCTGTCTATAGGTTAATTCATTCGTTATTTAGGCAGCTAATCATGAGTGCAGTCAAGGCCAGTCTATATAGCTGTAGTTTCTTCGAGATGGTCACACCTGTTTAAGTCCCAGTGATAAGCTCGAAGGTAGACTAGGGGAGGGGAGGGTGGGATGAGGAATTGATGTGCTGGGACCCAGAGTTTTATTGGCCTAAATGTGATTTCAAATAGGACTGGCCTGATTTCATTCAAGTTGGCTCTGTCAACCTCTGCTAATTAGCTTAACAAAATTAAATGAACTCTGTAACACCTTTTTTTTCCCTGAACAATTACCAGCATGGTTTTTAGTTATTCTCTATCTAATTTTAAGGCAGAGTTGGACAAGGTTATCCTTCAAGGGCCTGTCAATCTTCTAACTCACATAACCCTGAAAGGAAATGAGAAATGTTCAAAGGAGGGACGTGAGACTCCATGAACCAACTGCATGGATTCGAGGAAATGGGATAATTTTGGCCTCTTCATGATGTCACTTTCATGTTTCTCTCCATTAACCGTCGTCCACCCTTATGAGGAGCTGCGGGCTTGTAATTTTGGAGGCTTCTTGAGAACAGTAGAATTTTGAGAGAGTAAGATGCATGTTGGATTGCATAACATTTTCCAAACCAAAAAGAAGAGCATGTAGCCATTTTGAAGAGAAGTCTTAGGAAGCTTTTTCCCAAAACGGGACAGCTGCTTTTTGACCGTAACAGCTGCTTCCCTGGGGATGGCTTTTCTTTTATATGACAGCACTTAAGATCATTTAGGAGGTACCCAGCACTGTGCTTGGGACTTCGTATATGTTACTACCTCATTCTCACAGAACCCTCTTCCATAGGCAGCCTCATACCCATTTTACACATGCAGAAACTGAGACTCAGAGACGTTAAATGGCCTGAAGTCCCATGTAGCTAATAAACAGACCCAGTGCTTTCCTTCTGTGCATGCCCACCTCCTTGCCTCCCTCTGAGCTTATTTTTTTTTAGCAGTAAGACACATAAAGGGACATTGCGTCAGTTAATACAGCATTAGCAATCTCAGTGTCTAGAAGGGTTTAGAAGTCCTGAGCT